AATGCTAGTTTTCTCACCTCTTTCTTGTGGGTTTTAAGCAAACGCGCAGTGAAATGGGAGGAACTAGTTTATTTTGTCATAAGGTAGTGTGATTATGCATGACACGAAGTATTTGCTAGTCTAGTACTGGAGAAATTAGCGTTTGGATGCGCATTGTGAGCCTATTTCATTCGCAAGTACTATTTCAGAAATATGCGAAAGATGAAATAGTTATATTCACAAAGCACAGTTTTATTATTACACGGTGTTTATACGTACACACTAACAACTAAGTTATGCAATCAATCATGGCAATTGTTGTAAAGAGCGGGAACAACACAAATAAAGTTTTCCCCTAACTGAGTTACACATATCGGGAAGACCTTACGTAGGTATAGCACTACCAAACTTAATCATATTTGCTGGAAACCGTCTACAAAGAAATGCCATCGGGAAAACTGAATACTACTCACGCGTTGTTAGCAAGAAATGCCCATAACACGTTCCTACAAGGAAGCAGTTGTTTGTTTACTAGAAACAGAGAAGTAATTTGAAGTTGCGAGGTAGCGCGGCATCGCACGTGTATCACCGACTAACTGGGCACCATTAGAGAGAGAGTGAGAGAGAGAGAGAGAGAGAGAGAGAGAGACAGAGAGAGTGAGAGCGCGGAGATGTGTGAGCCCGCAATATGGCGTTACGTATGGACTTGACAAGCCGAGAGAGAGAGAAAGAGAGAGAGACAGAGATTACAGAGAATATGTGAATGCTGTTCCACAGCCACATGCAAACACACGCACACACACACATATGGAGAGTTTTCTCACTCAAGTTATGGGTTAAGGAAGTTGCTAATCACATGTATGTAATTAATTAATACATTAATTACATGTAGATTCACATGCACAGCATGCTCAGCATTGAACCATGTATGCGTAGTGTCAAATGGAGAGAGATGAAAGTAAGCAGCAAATAGATGCAACACTCATCAGTGCAATGCGATGGGGACCGAAAGTACACCGACAGAAACGGCAACATTGTTACACGGCTAAAGCGAATTTCACATGTAGAGGACGATAGAGGGCGCTTCACGTGAAGAATATGATGTGGGGCGCTTCATGTATAAAGGGAGGCAGCGGTGATAATAGCATCTCGCGTGTAAAGGGAGGATGGTAGAGGGCGCTTCACCTGTAGATGGAGATAGAGGGCGCTTCACCCATAGAGGACGATAGAGGGCGCTTCACCTGTAGAGGAAGATAGAGGGCGCTTCACCTGTAGAGGAAGATAGAGGGCGCTTCACCTGTAGAGGGAGATAGAGGGCGCTTCACCTGTAGAGGAAGATAAAGGGCGCTTCATCTGTAGAGAAAGATAGAGGGCGCTTCACATGCAGAGGACGACAGAAGGCGCTTCTTCACGTGTAACGCACGACATAGAGCGACGCGGCAGTGATGATGTACACGTTGTTGCAGAGCGCCTGCTGCGACACCTCGACATTCTTGCTCATGCGGCTCGTGTCCATCTGGATGCCGCCGAACATGACCAGCTCTCCGCGGCCGACGACGAGCGAGTGGAAGGCCGTCTCCTCGGGCAGCGCGCCGCACAGCGCGTCCGTGTCGCGCAGCCACGCGACGCGCCCCTCCGACGCCGCCGCCGACACGTCGAGCACGTAGATCCTCATCGGGTTCCTGACGGCGGCGGCGGCGTGGGAGGAGGAGGAGCGGGGCTGCGGGGCGGCGTCGGCGGGGCCGCGGCGGCGCGAGTGCGCGCGGATGCGCTCCTCCATGCGGCGCAGGCCCTCCAGCTGGCGCTCGCGGTCGCGCATCGCGTTCGGACGCACCGACGGCATGCCGCGGCTCGTCACGCTCAGCTGCGACGCGGCGGGCAGCGGCGTGCGGTCCGCTGCGAGACGCAGGGGCGCCACCGTCGCACCGGCGAAACGCAGAGGTGCCACCGTCGCACCGGCGGGACATGGGGGCGCCACCGTCCCACCAGCGGGACATGGGGGCGCCACCGTCGCACCGGCGGGACATGGGGGCGCCGGTGTCGCACCGGCGAGACGAGGGGGCGCCGGTGTCGCACCGACGAGACGAGGGGGCGCCGGTGTCGCACCGACGAGACGCGGCACCTTGAAGGTCGTCGCAGCGGCGGCGGCGGCGTCGTCGGCTTCCATCGGTTCGTCGTCGTCGTCGCCGCTCCAGTGCGAGCATCCTGGCGCGGGAAGGTCGCCGCAGGGGGCGCTGCTAGCGGATGCATCTGCGCTGGGGTCGCGCGAGCCGGCGGCATCCACCGCGGGCTTGACCTCCTGTTCGCTGTGCCGCCGGGGGTGTGTGGGCGGCTTGGCGTCGCCCTCGTCGCTGCTAGAGCTCAGACAGCCGGCCGACCCTCGCCTGCGGCAGCGCGGAAAATACGTGTTACGATTATCGCAGTCAACGCAAGAGTGACCGTCCTGCAGCCATCGCGACGAGACTCATTCTTAATCTCGTGAATAAAGATGAGTGGCTTGACACCATGACGCTCCAAGTAACATTAATACACGTGAGAAAAATAAACGTGACGGCAACATTGGGACGTTTTTTTGAAGGAGATAAGTCTTTCGGAGATCTAGAACTGGTGATAATGGGGTACATCGACGTGAATAGTTCTGTTTGAATGATTGCTCACAAATGTTAGTTATGTTACGACCTCATTTCAATACAATAGCAGAGCAATCAATGCCGATTGTGAGTCCGAGAGGAATTCCGATGCCAGTCTCGGTGAACAAGCGAACGTGTGACACTCATTACAAGACGCAGCATAGATTATAACCCGCTAGTGAGAATCAAACCTGTCTCAGCGGTCACCTCCATCGAAATGACGCCCGTCTATAAACGACACTCTCCGGGCATTTTGTTGAACGAACCCTCGAGCGCAAATGTGGCCGTACGCACAAGCGACCACGTCATGCGGCGCACTGTGTACATCGCGCGCGAATAAGGAACGGAGGCGTACGCAGAACACCCCCCTCCCACCCCACCCGAGGGTTCCCCGATCACCGGACAGAGAAGACTCGCCGGCCACAAGACACTTGCCTCAGTCTCTGCTGCGCGTCCGATCTCGACCTCCCAGCGTGCGTCGCTCGGTCATCGCGCGGCGGCACCCAGACGCGTGGCGCCCTCTTGAATTCAAGCGTGGACGCAGTGTTGGCGCTCGCGGACTTACGACTCTTGCTCAGCAGGACCACACTGCTGCCGACCTAACGCAGACAAATTGACCGTGAGTGTCGCAGTGACGGCCGAACAAAGTCACGGCTATCCTCGTCGTAGTCCACAACGCAGCCGTGAGACCGACGCACGCACATTTAACTCGCCACGAGATATGGGAAAATAAGGAATATACTGAAATAATGAGCGACATGAACAGTCTAGGTACGTCGCCAACAGTAAATAATAACACAAGAGTGAGAAACCCGATTCCCGCATTTCTAACCGATATTTCTCATCAAAATTTACCATCAATAAAGAAGCAAGCGTATACGTTCCTCAGCTTATTATGACCACTAATCACTCACCTTCGTGGTACTGATATTCGTTTACATATATTTGCTAGCGTATTGCTGTAAATTGTAATCTTGCACGAGCTGAATTCGCACAATTTACCACTAAAATGGTGCTATTGTGTGACGTGTTAAGACAAATTCTGAAGCTATAGTGGCGCCAATATTTAGCAACAGACTACTTCCAAATTATTCGTGCCCCGATAGGGGTTTAATGTACTTTATTACCTGCGCGTGCGTAATGTGATACTTACTGCAAACTACTACAGAGAATATTGTTATTATTGTATTATTACTTATGTAAGATAGTATGTCAATTTCTTGTGTTGCGATCACAATAACTCAGCACGTCTCGCGGTTCCTCACAAGATCAAACTTCGAAATTTAGATTGTCTCTCAACCCTATCGAGGCACGAATGATTTGGAAGCAGTCCGTTGCTAAATATTCGCGCCACTATAGCTTCAGAATTTGTCTTAACACGTCACACAATAGCGCCATTTTAGCGGTAAATTGTGCGAATTCAACTCGTGCAAAAAACGATTTACAGCAATACGCTAGCAAATATATGTAAACGAATATCAGTACCACGAAGGTGAGTGATTAGTGGTCATAATAAGCTGAGGAACGTATACACTTGCTTCTTTATTGGTGGCAAATTTTGATGAGAAATATCGGTTAGAAATGCGGGAATCGGGTGTCTCACTCTTGTTATTATCTACTCTTGACGTCGTGCAATGTGCGACCGTTCACTGGAGTGAATAACGTTCCATCGTCGTTCGAATTTTGTTCCTTCGAGTACCGTACATGGCATCATTAAATCCTCTGACAAACAAACTTTTGCTCACTTAGGAAAAAGCGGTAGATCAGACCAGCATTTATATGGATCCAACAGTTACTGTTACCTAGACTGGTAGTTCAACGCACATCGGCCTATTATATGTATATATTTATATGTATATATATATATATTTATATATTCATGAACATATGTATGCTTTGGTAGTCTAGTACTACTAGTAGTATGAATGCTAGAGAGTACACACTATTGTGTATATGGTAGCAGTGACCGTGCATGTATGGGTACCTTGCAGGCTTGGTGGCACCACATTTTTGGAGCAGCATCTTCTTGCAGTAGTACATGCATTTCCTGCCACGTCCACGGGGTGAGATTCATTCTCAGCAGCCACACGTCACTGTACACCTGACAAGGGACAGTGCCACACACCATCATACACGTGCAACAAAAATGCTTCTAGAAAATGGATATGTGAAGTCATGTCGACATACACCACGACACCTAACCTCGTAAATAGACACCAGTAATGCCATCTATTGACCATAATAGATAAAAGCTGACTCTTATTTAGCTACAGCTAGATGCAATATCAATAACGTACCTTGTTTGGCCCACCACACCCACCCACGATCAGCAAGTTGTCTTTGTCTAGAAGGATCTGTGACTGACCATATCTAGCCATCGGTTTGAGATGTGAAGTTTGAACCAATGACCATTCAAAACTGCCCAAGTTGAGGCTCCAGACATCATTGAAACTGAAAAGTGTTCATAAAACTATTCACGAGTTTTAATACAAAAGGCAAGTGACATTAATTACAGAGATGAGCTTTCTGAAAAAGAGATTTAAAACAGTAGCTATTGTCAACAGTTGTATACAAGATTTAAAGGGATGCTCCTGATACTTGCACACATTGGTATAACTGACATAAAATAAGCATTTCATTGCCTTATACCACAGACACATGTATAGATGCGTATAGACATGTTCCTGTTAATACTAATATAGAATCATCCTTAATCTCGTTATGTAACGCTGCATACCATTGGGCGCCCTGGCAACCACCAAACACAATCATGCAATCACTGATGACAGTAGCAGAGTGGCCAGCCATTGGCAGTGGCCCTGATGGCGTACTAATGCATGTCCACTTGTTTGTCTCTGGACAATATACATGTACCTACGTATAGGATGGAGAGTCATGGTTAGGGTATGGCAACAGCTTGCATACCTGCCAGAAACATACTGCTGAAAGCTTAGTGAAAATTATTGTAGTTAACAGGACAAACAGGTCAATAAATGAATTTGTTTTCGTGAATTCTACATACTCTAGTAGCTCATGGTGGTTTTGTATGCAATTTATGTACAGAACTAAACTCTTCAAGAATCCACTAATTGAAGGTCCAGGAACAATATTTGGTTGATAACACATTTCCCACTGACGGCAAAATAGCTTTTTGGGCCACGCCCTTTTCGAGCAAAGTACTACCATCCACCGTGACTGTATCTACAGAACCGTTGTGATACGACCACTCAAAATGTGCACAATGGCCACATTATGGGGGGTCAGCAATACATTTTCATATCCAAAAGTCAATTGTTTTTAAGACAAGTGCCGCAGAGCGACAGCGCTCAACTGACGTGTACTGTAGCCGGGTATTCTTCTGATAAACTCACTGGCAACCGAATGAAGTGCGCCCTCCCGCCACCGCGTTCGCGCTCAGAGCATATATCTAGGATACTACTAATACAGATCTAAAATCTATGATAGCTATAGACTTTGCTATACCGGTAGTACAGTAATAAAGATACAGCTGTGTAACTTTAATGACTTCGCTATATTAACATGTTATCATGGATACGAGTCGAGCGCGAGCGTAGTGGTAGTGGTGGGGGAGAATGGGGGGAGGTGGCTCTAATAGCAAAAGCAGTTGACGCGAGATGGCGCGTGCAAGTGTCATCAATAATCAAAGATAGCATCACCCTTCGTGCGTGATAACCTCACTCCATTGAGTTGCTGAAATCCAAGTATATTCAGGCAGGCGAGAATTTCGCTCAGCTGTGAGTTAGCACATCTGCATTGCAGGTTTCCAGGCAATAATTATTATTAGAATAGTGCCAGTTCACCCCCATGCATGCGTAATGGGCTGCCCCCATGTTTTTGTCTACCCACGCGAGCATTCAGGGTTCATTACAGTGTGCTAAGTCAAGGTGCTACTCAGGGTGGTAATACAGATGCTTTAGAAAATAATATGATTTAAAGAGTGTAAACCTTGTTCAACAAACATTTGCCTTTGCAATTGAACTGTGCAACTGTAGCCTCACATCCACAATAGCAAAAACAGTTCAGTCCTTTATTAACAGTCAACAAATCCATGTTTAACCCTCTTGAGGGTCAAAAGGTTATCCGACACTTACTCTTCGCATGTCAGCAAAAAGTACATTTTATGGTCCTTTCAATAAAGCCATAAAAATGGTAGGTCACTGCTAAGACAAAAAAGTTTTCAATCGCTCTGTCAGACCATGTCCTCAGAAAATGTCTAAAATCTGCCCTGTACCCCATTGACCTTTGACCTGTGACCTCCAATTTCGGCACAGTGATGGCTTTTCCTACCATGATGCTATACACCGACTATCACGAGCCTAGGTCGAGCCGTTTAGATTTGTGCTGCAATTCTGCATTTCCTACCTATACCTTAAGTTAAGAAGGGAATGTTCCCCCTTCTTTTACACATCTTCACCTTTGACCTTTGACCCCCAGCTTCGACATCCCAACTCGTTTTCGGATTACCCCCCTACGTCCCGACTTTCGAATCCGTACGTCGAGCCGTTTAGATTTGTGCCCAACTGTTGACAGACGCACGCACGCACGCACGCACGCTCATGCGATTCTACAAGCTGCATCTGACTATGTCAGATGAGCTAATAATTGCCAAAAACCGATTTCAGCATGTTACGCACTACAATTATCTGTAATTGTTCCTATTATTTGGATTTCTACAGCCACAAAACGTCACACATTTTATGTTCCTTTCTCTGCAAGTGCACGTTTTGGTACTCATACATGATGTTGGGCATTTGCATGGAGGGGGCAGGTCATCGGGCCTGCATGATACTGGCAGTCCACAAGAATAGACATTATTTTTGATGTTGATCAAAAATCATCAATCAAGCAAATGGAATGAGCACAGAGAAGTTCTTCAGAACAAATCACTATCACCATTAGGTCTGACAATCAGAAACTCCCTGCCGATCTTGATATGTTCTGGAGCTCAATGTTGAACAAAGTTCGGTTGCAGAACTATGTCTTCAAGTGGATGCTGCAGAATGTCGAGTCGGACAAGGAGATCTTCTTTGGAGGAGTATATGGGGGTGAATGCAGGAAATTGTTAGCTGGCACTGAAACACAGATCTCAGAGCTCTCAAGCAACCAAGAAGAAGCCAACGCCAGAATCATGTTCCATATTAATGATGGTGTTCAATCAGTCTTGGTTGACTCACCTGACACAGATGTCTTTGTCAATCTCATCTTCCACTTCAACAAAACCTGTCAACTACAAAAGCTGTACGTGAAGCTTGGTAACCGGAAAACAAAGAAAACTGTACGAGTCCACCTGTTGGTTGGTGTCGTGTCTCACAGCCATTCATGCTCTCAGTGGTTGCGACAGTACCAGCAAGGTGGGTCCAAAGCTGTCTGGCCTGAAAGCATCCATGGATCTCTCCCTACTGGAAGGGTTTGGTGTAGAAGAACTGTCACCACAGATAACAAGCAATGCTGAAGATTCCCTTGTGTCTAGATTAAAGAAGACAGACTGTTCCACTTTCGATGAATATTGATGGGAGCAGTACCACAACTCCAAGAAAGAACTGGACTTCAACCAACTTGTGTGCTGTTCATCAACGCTACGAGAACACATAAAGCGAGCATATCTGCAGTGTAAGAAGTGGTTGCAAGCCCCAACTCCTGCAGTCACCAAACCAGATCCACTCCAGTATGGATATGAAGGAACGGATGTTGGAATAACACCAGTGATACTGCCAGTATCGTGCAGGCCTGATGACCTGCCCCCTCCATGCAAATGCCCAACATCATATATGAGTACCAAAACGTGCACTTGCAGAGAAAGGAACATAAAATGTGTGACGTTTTGTGGCTGTAGTAAAGGCAAATAGTGCATAAATCCAAATAACAGGAACAATTACGAATAATTGTAGTGCGTAACATGCTGAAATCGGTTTTTGGCAATTATCTTAAAAACCATTGACTTTTGGATATGAAAATGTATTACTGACCCCCCATAATGTGGCCATTGCGCACATTTTGAGTGGTCGGGCAACCTCCTAGGTCCAACGGTTCTGTAGATACAGTCACGGTGGATGGTAGTACTTCGCTCGAAAAGGGCGTGGCCCAAAAAGCTATTTCGCCGTCAGTGGGAAATGTGTTACCAACCAAATATTGTTCCTGGACCTTCAATTAGTGGATTCTTAAAGAGTTTAGTTCTGGACATAAATTGCATACAAAACCACCATGAGCTACTAGAGTAACACTGAGCAATGCTAATAGGTTACTGTACCCCCATTCTTAATAGCTATCTCTGTTAAAATTGTTGATAGAAAAGACAGCCTACCCGTTTGTTGAATAAGCTTGATTGGTAGAATGGAAACTGGCCAGGTGGTGAGTATCCGCCAAACAGTATTAGCCTGTCATCGTGGCACACCAGCGATGCACTGGCCTTTGGACTAGGATACGTGCCTGCAAACAAAAATCTCAAACGTTCACTAGTAGTAAAAATCAAACATCTAATGCAAAAGCAATCGCCGACAGGGAGCGATAGATGCCGCTCCGCTTTTCCATCACACAAGAACCTACCCATTGCGAGAGGTCGTATCCACTCGCGGGTCACGAGGTCAAACCGCCAAAGGTCGTTGAAGGTCGTACAGTTGGACGTGCAGCCGCCGAAGACGTACATCGACTTGTTGTAGTAGCAGGAGCTGTGGGAGAATCGCTCGGCGATGCTTGGCCCAAAGCTAGGCGTCACGACAGTGCACTCAAGATGGCCGCTCCCTTGCAACGCCCTGGCCAGGCTCGTGTTGACGACTTTCGCAACACCTGAAATACACGTGCTGACGTGCAGTAAAACGTGTACAAAAAGTGCCCCCTTATAAAAGTGTTATTATTAAAAATATTCAATAAAGGTGGTTTTACCTCTATAACCTGCTACAATATACCACGGTGTATAACTGCCACACTCGCATAAAAGAAGGAAGTGTCCTTTATGGACAGGTGTCGATTCTATACAAGTGTCCATTAATACAGGTTTGACTCTTTTCTTGATTGCCAAAGCCTATGGGTTACATCGTGACTAATATTCGTTTATACGACTATCAGATTTTGCGTTAGCGCTGTCAATTGTTAGGCAAGTTTCAACTCAACAATGCTACGGTGAATCTCACCACGTGCTACCCGGTTCCATTTCTTTGACACGACGGTGCATGTAATGAGGTCCTGGTAGGGTGACAGGAATGACATGATGTACTCCAGAATCTCTTCTGGAATCACATCCATCTTTAGCAAGCTTTTCGTTGACTCTATCCAGATAAGGAGGAATTAGGGGTCGGTCATCTCAGCATGCCATGCGAGGTATTTCCAAACCAAAAAGTTGAATGTCACCTTGTGAAGCAATGTTGGTTTAGACCTACAAAATACGAGACACCTAACACAGGTGACAAGTGTTATCACACCTATTAAAAGACACATGACACATGCCTATATCAGCTCTGTAAATATGCATATCATATAGACAGGAGTGAATAATAATAATAATAATAATAATAATAATAATAATCTATTATTATTCACTCCTGATATAGATGTATGTAGTAAAAAAAGAGGTATAATTTGGAGCATTATTTCAAATTCAATTCAATTGGTGAAAATTACACCTGCATATCATTGATAGTGAGCCAACATTAAAAACTCCATGTGACATTTGTTGGCTATGCAATGGGTAGTTTAACATTAACTTTTCACCTTGAGAAGGATAGCAATGAATTGCTATATATAGCAAATAAGATTGGATATAATAGGGCTTTACTTGTTAATATTATTATAATGTTATCAATTATTATTATTTGTGCATAGTACTGTAAGGTTGAATTGTAAATTTGAAGAAAAACTTAATAATAATTATAATACAAGTTATTGTTATATGACATTGACTAGTCATGTGATAGCTCTAACTGTCGCTCTTTGCTTTCACTCTGCTACAGGGCTCTATAAACAACAGTGCCATAATACAGCATCGAATCTGTAGAATACTGGAGGCTGAGCTGTAGCCTGTAATACAATATAAAAATATCCTAGCCGGCAATATAAACGTCCTGAATTTGGCTTGCCATTCTGAAATCAAACTCAACTTATCACAATTTGGCCAGATTGGGTCATTTATCGAATCCAAACAACCAAAAAAACAAATATACAGCAAGTCTGCCATGCTGCCGAGATTTAGTGCCGTTTTCCATGGATGACTATGACCATGATAAAGTCATGGAGAAGACTCAAAGGGCTATATGTGGATACAGCTAGTTAGTTGATAGATTGAGGACACACTTGCAGAACTTGATTTACGTACTAAGCGCTAGTGGCACTGATTTTAACCTCATAACCTCATAAACATTAGTCTTCAAAAGTCCTAGGGACTATAATGAAGACGGAGAGAGAAGTGGATCAAATCGATAGATCAACACTGTGGATTGCAGTGAAAAAAGTTGCAATTTACCAATGATGAAGGAAGAGAATTCCAATACGGAATGACAGAAACAAAGAAGCTAAACTTAGAAGAGTCCTTAGAAGATGGCACATGTCGAAAACAATGATCACGCTCAGATGATCGAGTGCATCGGACAGGCTTCATTAAGCAAGAGGGAATGCCAGTCATCACCTGACCATGATAATTTTATGGAAAGTTATGAGTTTAGCATGTAGAAAGCGAACACGAAGAGGAGGTCAATCAAGACGAGCCAAAACAACATCAACACTATCATGATGGTTTTTGGAAACCCATCTCGCAGCTTTATGCTGAATGGCATCCAATTTAGAGCAGTTCTAAAGTGTATAGGGGCACCAGCCTGGCGAAGCATATTCTAATATGGGCAGAACCATAGTTTTGAAAGCCAGGAACCGAGTTTTTGAATCGGCAAAGCTGAGGTTACGCCGTAACATACCAAAGGAACGAGACGATTTCTTGCAAATATGACGTATGATCAATGTGGGCATTCCAGTGAAGATCGCTACTAATACTAACACCCAAATATTTGTAAGTAGGGGTAAGAGATAGATATTTATGGTACAGCAAGTAAGTAAAAGTCAAGGGTGATTTGGAGCAGGTAATACGAAGAATTTTACACTTTTCAGCATTGAACGACATACCCCACGTTGTTGCCCACTTCTCAGCACGAGTAAGGACACTCTGGAGGGCTAACTGATCACCCTTATTGTAGATGCTGTGGTACAGAACTGCGTCGTCAGCAAAGAAGCGAATAGAAGTAGAAGCGTCAGTTTCGGCCAATAAATCATTTATAAAGAATAAGAACAGCAATGGACCAAGCACAGAACCTTGGGGTATACCCGATGTGACAGTGGCCACATCTGACATGCTGCCGTTAACACAGACAATTTGAGATCTAGCCTTCAAAAAGTCAGAAATCCAGTTTAACGTAGTACTAGTAGTATCCAAACCCAAGTGACCAAGTTTGAAAATTAAGAGATCATGAGGAACCCTATCAAAGGCCTTACTGAAATCTAGAAATACTGCATCAACCTGTTGAGACTTGTCAAGACTTAATGTCCAATCATGAAAAACATTGATTAACTGGGTAACAGTAGAAAAACCAAGCTGGAAACCATGTTGATGATGGGACAGAATATCATGTCTATCGAAATGGCTCATAACAGAAGAGTAGACTATATATGCTCAAATGCCTTAGGTAGAGCAAAGAGAAGTCAAAGATATTGGGCGATAATTTGAAGCAAGGGAAGATCCACCAACTTTATAAACTGGGTAAGTAGGCGAGGTACGGTCCGGCATATTAGATAGTAGTATTTAGTACCAGGGTACCCAGGTACTAAATACTACTATCTAATATGCCGGACCGTACCAGGCGTACCTCGCCTACTCCACTAACGAGTCTAGGGAGTCGCCTACGCCTACTCCCTAACTCTAACCGTAACCATATCAGCTAGATAGTTACCAGGGTATGTTCCGGTATACCGGACCGTACCCAGGGTACGTTCCGGCAGTACCGTACCCTGGGGGACATAGACCCTATGAGCGTTAGAAGACCATCGGCCAGACAATCGGTCGCACAACCTGGTCCGGCTAGCCTATACTATAGCACTACATGACTCAGTACTAGTCGATACAACTACAACTTAGTTACTAGGCTGAATACAGAGAGCACTCAGCACTGTCACAAGTCACTACATCAGCACATGCACATCACAAGTAGAAAATAGGGAATTCCTGATGAATCTACTCCTGATGCACATGACACATGCAACACCTGAACAAGCAAAGTCAAAGTATTTATGCTTAATTAATGTTCTCGTACTTGTCGGTGTCCAGTGCACTGGATATAATGACAACGTAATAAGGTTTGTTGTCATTGACTGATAATTTATTGCACACTCATGTTTTTATCACTATTGTCACCTACCAACTTTAGTATAATAAAAAGGTTACTGTACGCTAAACAAGTTCTAAATAGGGGCTGACATGCTTTAACACAAGAACAGCGCAGTCATGGCGCTGCAATCATAGCCCATCACATAATATCAGGAGTAAGATAATATCAAGAGTGGATATATAGATCTATATTATCTTACTCCTGATATTATGTGATGGGCTATGATTGCAGCGCCATGACTGCGC